TCTCTTCTGGGGGCCCCGGGTGGGCTCCTGGCACCCCTGGGTGCGGAGGGGTGGGATGGGCTGATGTGCCCTCCCTCCCCAGGCTCCACGCTGCTGGTGATGCTGCTCATTGGTGGCTTCGTGCTCCTCTGCTCCGTCCTCCTGCTCCTAGCTTTCCTCTGCCATAGGAAAAGGTGGGTCCCATCCTGCCCCCCACTTTTACCCGGCATCACCTTCCCAAAATGTGGCAGCTTCATTCAGCTGCTCACTCAGTGGGTGTGAGGAGGTGGGTGATGGTGGGCACAAGGTGCCTGGGACCCCTCACCCCACCTTGCTTCTCCCCTTGGCAGGAAATCAGCAGCAGAGCTGAACTGTGGGATCACAAAAGGTAAAGGGTCCCCAAGCCCTCCCCAGAACCAGGAGTCCTGTGGGCCATGGGGTGCAGCTGGTTTAACTGGTGCTGCTGCTGAGCCCAGAGCCATCCCCTTGCTGGGGGGACCTGTCCAGGTGACAGCCTGGGACAAACAGGGGTTTCTGCTCCCTGCCCAGGGTACCCCAAGCTGGAGTCAAGCCAGGTGTGCTCCCTGCAGAGCTTGCAGCCCCCCAGCCTGGCCTCCTTCCCCACGGCACCTGCACCAGGAGACCTCAGCCGGACCCATTCCCCAGGTAACAGGGACAGTGGGGGGCAAACAGGTCCCCCAGCCCAGAGTCAGGACCGTGTCTCCCCCACTGCACCCTGGGGACACTCTGGGGTGTCCATTCCTCTCCCCTTCCCGTTCTGGTCCAACCCCTCCTGCATCACAGTCCTATGCAAAAGGGAGACCCTTTTGGGGCTTATTATTTTATAATAGTAGTAACAATAATAATAACAACAGAATAATAAACAGTAATAAAGAATAATAAATAATAAATAAGGATAATAACAATGGCAGCAATGATAACAATAATTACAGCAATAACTATACTATTACTAAATAATAAGAACAATAGTGATATGGGTAATAAATAACAGCTATAATAATAAATAATAAGAACAGCATTAATAATAAGGATGATAAATAACAATGATAATAATATTAATAACAACAATAATAGCAGATGGTAGTAGTAGTAGTAGTAGTAATAATAATAATAATAATAAATTCCATCTCAATCACAGCCGTGGGTATTGGAGGGTGGCCAGGTGGCACCAGGAGCCCTTCTCTGTGCTGGGGCAGAGGGATGTGGGGTCCATGGGGCGGGCATCCTCCCCCTGGTT